TATCACTTCATATAAAGATGCTGTAAAGTCCGTTCTGCGCACATATTCTGCGAATCAACACATTCCATCAGTGTGGGAGCAACCTTTGGAATGTTGTTAATATTTCGCTCTTTCCGAACTTCCTTGAATTGAATCTCTAGTCTGCATTCATTTACAAGCATAGCGAACCAGAAGAGTGTTAAAAATTCAGTATAATATATATCTAATCATATTTTACAACTGTAGCACTGAGTTCAAAATGTAAACAAAGCGTTTGTTTTTTAATACATTACGGACTTTACATCACCTTTAAGCATACACTGAGTTTACTGGTCATCCATGTTAAATAAAGTCATTCAAGTGTATTCATACTTACTGGAATGTAAACAAATTTAATTTTACTCACCATTTTTCAAGATTTATACAAAACTCTGAAGATTTAAAGTGGAATACCAGCATGTTTGTTTGCTTGCCTGCGGCCATGTTTGATTTCTCAGTCTGCGGGCAGGAGAGCCTTTTCGCAGGCTATTGATTTTTGAACTCAATATATAACTGAATTGAAACATGTATGCGTTCCATTGATCTCATTGTGTATAACTGGACTGTCCGTCGCATGGTATGGTATGGTATGGTATGGTATGGTATGGTATGGTATGGTACAGGTATATACCCCATAAACCACACAAAAAGCACATCGCTATAATTCTTTTAAAATATACTCAATTTATAAATGGTTTTGTATTCAAGTAAACTTGCCTAAAGTGAGTTCTTCCTGACAGTTCTCATTTATTGCTTGTAATTATTGTAAAAGAAATATAAATGAAATATAATATTATAACACTATTCAACGTTTTTCGACTGAACAAACCTCCAAAAAGCCGTTATGACAATCATATTTTGCAAACTTAGTCTTAAAGTTTCAGATTATACCAGTTATCAATGGGTCGGTTTTTTAATTTTCAGGTAACAGATTTTGGTAAATAGTGCGAAAACATTCTTCCAATTTCAACAAATGGTACATCATTACTCGACCGCCATGTTAACTTCTACTTAATGACTATAAATCAAGCTTGTGGTTTTTGGGTATACATATACCTGTATATGGTATCGAATGATATTCAACTACTAAGCTTGAAACTTGTGCTTCCATCAAGTTATGCGCACTTAGAGTTTAACGTTTTAAGGTTGCAAAGGACAACCTCTTTTAAATTGGCTGTATATATTACACATATTACATTGAGAATAATGGAAATTTCGACCAGTTGGGAAGGAAATCCCTCGCTGTTTTATGATGTCACATGATGACGTCACATTATTGCGTTTCTCTAATTTAGACGCGAGTCAATTAGGCAAATATATTCACTAGTTTCCAGTCCCCTATGAGCACGTTTTCAGTCGTGAAGCACTTTTGTGTTTGTCATGTAATTAACATTTATCACATGTGCACATGATTAATCCTGACTAAACCGTAACAGTCCTGCTTTGACGCAATGTTTGCTTTTCATTGCCTATAGTTTTCCTCGCCAAAACATGGCTTATTCCCTGTGCTTACTTTGACTATCATTTACAGCATAATAATAAGTCAATATATACTACAGGTTGCTCACGCAAAGAAAACGTCACAAAGCGACAAAAGAAAAATCGAGCTAAGAACAAGGATTTTGAAACACGCCGTAAGCGAAAAGCAGACGAGACCACAACTGGTACTCAAGCATCCACGAGTACTCAGCCGTCTTCGAGTTCACCTGGACCATCCGCGATTACAACTCAACCATCCGATAGCACTGAAGGGCCTCCCCCCAAGAGATCTGGGGCAAAACTGCCAAAGGGCCTTTCCCCAGGATAGTATGCAATCGCCGAAGGTGTGAGCCGAGTACCGAAGGCACGAGTTAGCTAGGAGGGTCTGGGGGCATGCCCCACAGGAAATTTTTAAAATTTGGGTCTCTGAAATAGCATCTCCTGCATTCTGAGAACACATTTAAAAAAAAATCTCAGCTTCTCAGAACGAAGTTCTAATGGTGAATTTTGTAATAAATTGCATGCTAAACATTCAAGCACAACATAAATTTAAGTATAATCACCAACAAATTTTGTTTTTTAAACTTCTTTTCAATGCTAAACTCATTTACTCAGTACAGATAGGACCCTGGGCTTTGGGGCAATAGGCCATTTTTCTTTCTTCAGTGGTGGGGCAGAGGAAGGGGTCCAGTGGGGCAACTGCCCCCACCAGTCCATGGTATTAATAAAATGCCTTGTGATGTACAGTGCATGCATACGTCACGTCGTTGACTTTGGCCCGTTCTAAACCATAACTTTCCGTGGGACTCTTGAGCTACATTGCTGCACCTCGCCTAATTCTTTTACCAGCTCCCCTACTATTTCCATCATTTTGACTTACTGTCCATGTAATTCTGTTTGATATATGTATATTATTAATATTTTCAATCAGTGACAGTGTATAATTAAAACATTATAGCTGCAATAGAATCTCGAATTAGCCCCATTTACAACATTTAAAACTAACCCTAACCCTAACCCTAACCCTAACCCTAACCTAACCCTAACCCTAACCCTAACCCTAACCCTAACCCTAACCCTAACCCACGACTTTACCCACGACACACGACTTTTAACCCACGACACACGACGTATAGGGACACTCATTATAGACGGGTATTCTGCAATTTAGCCGATTACGCAAACTAACTATGAATGTTGAGAGGAATATCTAGAAATTTGGATTTAGTAAAAGCTTCACGATTTCCGCGCCGCCTAAAGATAAAGTAAATGATACTGCGCGAGAGAGAAAAACTTGTCGGAAACGGCGCGCGGCTTGCGACCGGAATTGAGAGTATACTTGTATTATCAATTGGCTAGCAAAATCTAACTGAACGAAACCCGCGCGCGACAGTTATTATATATTTTTTATATATTATATATTTTACCGGAGTACATGCAGAGGCGTTTCCACGGAAATTGTCGTTGTTTTGTCTTTTTTTGCAGGCCATTCACTCGCGTTCGTCTGAAGAAATGTCAACTAGACGCTATACTAAAAGCCAATACAGCAAAAAGGAACATGCAGGTACTTGTAGCGAAAGTCATTTTCGAATTGACATCAACTTAAATAAAGTATATGGCATGACATGTATGTAATACCGCGCGATATCGTGAACCGGCGAGAGAAATCTAAAAACTGAAAATAACATTGACTGCGGAATAAAAAACTGATCTCACTCGCCAGGAAAATTATAGTATAACTTTAAAATGCATTTCAAACAATCATAAATTCATTGAAAAAATCACACGAGACTCGTGTGTATATTGCATACCACTTCACTGTATTGTAACTTACGCAATCAGAGAAGAAAATCACACACTGTAGTGTAGACGAAAGTTCCCGCCTAACAATGAGTTGAGGTATATTACATGTGCAAAGGCAGACACTATATATTATATAATATACACAGCCACTTCAAAAAAGGCCTGTTGCCTGCCCCTTGCAAACCTTTTCTCTGAACCTTAAACTCTAAAACTCTAAGCGTGCAAAGCTTAATGTGAGCATAAGTTTCAAGCTCAGTACTCTGCTTAGAATTTAATAACTAGCCGTGTACGTTTGGCAATTAAGCCTGGCTATAGACTAGTATATATAGTGTGGACAGTTTATCCCTAGCGAGGCCCATGCACGCGTACATACATACCCGTGATTTCAAATGCAGGTTGAAGCCAGGCTGTAGATTATACCGGCACAATGATTACGAGAAAGGTTTGTAAATCGACAGAAATATCACTCGACTGCGATTGTGAAACGTTTCCTAACAATGTGTTCGGATTTATCCGCGTGCAAACTAAGCTACATATCTTACAAACTATGTAAAGCTACACGCGGTAAAAAGTATGATGAAATGATACTGTGCGAGAGAACTGAAAAAAAACTCTTGTCGGAAACGGCGCGCGGCTTGTGATCGGAATCGAATGCATACATTAGTACTCACTATTATCAATTGGCGAGCAAAATCTAGCCGAACGAAACCCGCGCGCGACAGTTATATTATATATACTAAGAAATAACAGAACTCTTAATAATTAGGCATAAGCTACTGTTGTGCTAAAGCTTGAAGCGAAAGTCGTCTCAAATTGATATCATTTAAAAAAGAATCTACGTTATGATATGCATGTGATACCGGCGAGCGAAATGTAACTGAACGACCAATCGCGCGCGCCACAGTCAGTATATTACAAGCATTTATTACAAATAACATTGACTGCGGAATAAAAACACTCACTAGCCAGGAAAGTTCTAGTAAAACTTTAATTAATGTGGTCGTTGTAAACAATCGTAATCTCATTGAAAAAATCACACGAGACTCGACTCGTATACATGTCGAGTTTTCACTGCATTTGTGTTACACACACACACATCACTCAAGAAAATCACGCACTGAATGCGAAAGTTCCTAACAATGTGTTCAGATATATACACGTGCACTACAATATATTTATGTCATTTGGCGATTGAGTTAACAACTTAACTAACGTCCCTCGCGATCCGAGCACAAGAGAATGCGGAACCTGCCTTGCATATTTATCCGATGAACGGATCGATATCCAACTGAACGAAACCTGCGCGCGACAGCATGCACATGGAGAAATCGATAACCTTAACTACGGATGTAAAAAACCGCACTCGCTCGCCAATAAATACACAAACAGTACAGGCATATATGATGAGAGTGTAGGCGTCGCATGCGATCAAAAATCACACGACGCCCGCACACAATTATTCGACAATTATATTATGTATGTTGAAGCACACCCAACTGCATATTCGCCGTGTGTCTCTTACAATCTGAACGCAAAGGAAATTCTGAGCTTCTTGCGCCTATAATTATGGCGTGCAATAATTATGAATCAATCTCAGTTTTAAACGTCTAATTAAACACCGCCTCGGCGCGGTTGTCGCCGTTTACTGGCTAACATTTATACGCGACGGAGTGAAAATACATTCTATAAACAGGGAACAATTGACATATACTGTTTTCCTTTAGCGGTACAATGTATATTTTCCTGCTCTAAGATCAAAGTTTGATGTGGCGCGCGAGCACATTTTGTGAGTTGCCAAGCCGGGCAGGAAAGCAACATTTTACGATGCAGACTATTCAGCGTTCGTGAAAATACATTCTAATGGCGATAAAGGTCCACTGAAGCGCGCGACAAAGCTACGATCGGCATGCCATAAAGATTACGATATTAAAAATTCTAAACCAACGAGACTGACTAGGTTTGTTTCACACTGTGTCCGGTTAATAATTTCTGCTCGCAACGCGCAATGTACTCGTGCGCACAACAAGGCAAGTCAATATAGGCAATTAAAAAACTATAGCTAAATTATAGAAACGAACCTTTAATTGTGCGATGTGGAACTCTTGCTTCTTCACGCCAACCAAGACATTCATGCAGGCAGTCTATAAACTTGTGTTCACGCCAGACTCTAGCAAAGTAATGCAATATAAATAGTAGCGCCTTGAATAGCGCGCCCAATTCGTATTCAAATCACGCGCGACGCAGAACTCTCAGGTTACAGCGCCATCGGATTGGTCGATTTTCCAAGTTCCCCATTGGTTGCAAACACTCAATTCTCATTGGTCCCCATAAACAAATTTTGATCCTCGTTCAATCTGATGTTGAGTTTCTTATCGTTCTTCACCTTTAGACCGGCAAGGATCGAAAGAAGAAAACGACCACGAGAGACGTTTACTCACACATCCTACCAAGAAATTGTGGACATCCACGAATGTGCTATTTGTCATAGGATAATAAAATAAATGGATAGCTGAGCTGACGTGACCTAATGTTTTCAATGGGCTGATGGCGTGGTTGCATATTGAAACCTAGTTGCAAACCAATTTCTCAAAACGTTTAGCAATAATACAGCAAAACTACATTTTAGTCAAAGAGAAAATACTGAATATAACCACGCCATGAAATCTTTTAGTTACAATTGGCGACGCGGAAATTTCGTAGCTACAAATCTGAAACCTTGAATACCAGTTATTTTACAATCCATGATGAAACCAAGGGAAGTGTATCATAACATTCTTGTCAACGTACCGGCAATCATCATGGCATGTGTCAAATTATAAACTCAGTCTGGGAGTGTGTTTAAATCAAGACCTTTACCCACACAGACTTGACATATTCAATAAGGCGTGTAAAATGCGCTCGTTCGTTGCGCCATCGAGTATCTTCAGATCGACCGGTCTTGGCAATCAACACCTGGAATTCTATCCGATAAACTTTAAACATACCTAGAAGCTCCACAGTTAGCTGGCATTGACAATCTAGCCGATAGGAGAATCATCAGATATGTCAAAAATACACGAGCAAAATGAAAAGAACAAATCATCCCTTAGTGACAAACTAGAACTGTAATTATGAGCCGTTATCAGTACTACTAGAGAAAAAAACCGAATGAAGTTTTCAAGATCTGTGGAAGTACTGAAAAGACGCTGGAAAACTGGCTTTTTTATATTTGGAAAAAAAAACACCCAACCCTTTAGTGCAATAATTGCGATGATACAGGCCTCCAAACTACATTCTATGCACCAATGGATCGTTTGGAAAAAGGCGAAATTCATTAGCCGCGAAATTCATTAGGAACAGGAAAACAAGCGAAAATCAGCTTTAGCCGTTGTTGTTTAATTAATTGAAGGCCTATATCGTCAAAACTATCGCACGAAATCAAAAAATTATTTTGAACTTATTAACTAATTTTAATAAAAGCCTATTTCATGCAGTCACCACTTTCGTTGCACACATAAAATTAGATTTTATATAGATTGTTTGGATAAAATTGTACTAGTTTGAAAATATATAAACTCTCTGTAATTCAGACGTCTTTGTAACTGCGAAAGAGCAGTTCAATAAACCATAATTATATATTAAGACAGGGCATTTTTTAACTATATAATCAAAGTCCCTTTTCTCTAAAATATAAGCAAAACATGGAATTTAGAAGGCAGGTTTGATATTCTAGTAACTGAAATTTGCTTTGTGAATCTTATGTCCTGTCTTTTATGTTTAATAAATACCTTATTAGATTTTAAACATTTCCCAGGCAGTGGATTGCATTACCCAGACCCTATAGATTTGAGTTGTTGGACAAGTTAGTGACCGCAGGGGGCAACAGACCCTCAACCAAGTGTTTTATAATGGGAGGGGGGGGGATAATTTTGGCCCTCACCAAAAAAAAAAAAAATTTGATTTCGAAACTAGAAGTATTTGAAATCACATATACATATAATCAAATATCTGTAATCGATATTTTGATAACATTTCTCGTAATAATCCATCCTGACTCGCGGATATCATAGACTCACAAAGGGCCAAACAAAAGGCGTATACGTAGAAGACTTTGAAAATGCCATTTCCGATGATTTAGAGACGTAAAATTTTCAAAAATTTTCCGCTCTGTGCCAACCATTGTGGCGCTTCGTGGGAGTCGGGAACTCCAAGTTTATCAAGCATAAACATACATAAACAGCATAAACATACTATGCAAGTACTTAACTGAAGGTTCAGTCTATCTAGAACATAATGTAATGCTGTATATCCAAAAATCTGTTTCAGAAAATGCAGGGAATTGCAGTCATAGGGGTAGAAAAATACAAAGATGTTCTGGGGGAGAAAACCACAGACCCTCTCCAGGGCCGTAGGGTCATTCATTTTTCAAAATCATGCAGACCTTTATTATTTAATCCATGACAAACTGCAAAGAATGAAGATATTACCCATACTTTCTTGCAACTTATCCAATATATCGTCCAAGAAATGGCATTTCAGAGACATTTCCAAAGTCCAGGAAATGGTATTTCAGAGACTCTAAATTTAAAAATTTCCTCGGGCCTTCGGCCCTCGCTTTCACTCCCGCCCAAACGAAAAGAGCTTCCTACGGCCCTGCTCCCCCCCCTCCTACTATTAAATGCGATAGCGCACCAAACTTTTTGTTACCAACAAACCATCTATCATCGCTCCACACTCGGTATAGTATGGTCCCTTTTTGTAGATCCCCCCCCCCCACTGACGAATGCTTAAAAAATGCCCTGTATTAAGATTATATACGTGTGGCGTTATTTATTTATAAACTGTTCGATGACAATTCGTGTGTTTGTTGCAACCGCTGCATGCATGGGTGGTGGTGATTCACGTCACGTTTAAATTCCTCTGAACTCCTCCATTCGCATTGCGGTCGGGTACGGTTCGTGCATCTGTTTGTTTCTGCTGCAAAATTAGTAAACAATAATGTCGTTATCGGAGGGTTAGGCAATATTAGTGGGATGCTACCTTTGAAGCCAAACCTCATTCGAAAAGACACAGCATGCAAAAAGATTTTTTGGCAGTGGATAAAAAAAAATGACATTTCTCCAAACCCCCCCCCCCTCCTCACACTCCCCGGAAAAAAAACCCGCCCCAACCTTCTCCCCACAATCAATTCACGCACACCCTCGCATACCTTACAGAAATCGGCAATACCTGGAGGGTTACAGTTAGTAGGTCACACTGTCCCTTTTGAAATAGTATTGCGCATATTCATCCAGTGGTATTTACAGCTCAGTTGGCTAATGTTGTAAACATCCAGTTCTCATTCTTAGGTCAGTGACTATCAAAACTTTTCAAGAAAATGTAGACGAAAAACACACGATTTTTTCTCGATTTCCTTGCCCCCAAACGATCATGCAACGAGATCATACACACGCCTATATACCCTGGCCTTACAGGAAGGCACTGCAACGCTTCTAATAAACAAAACCACACGCCGCAGGCCGGAAAATACGTTTCTATATATAGGCGCCGCTAGGCGAAGTCTTAATACGACCGCTACACGACCTACGTTTTAAATTTTCACCCCACCACTGCCTATAATATATAGATCCCTTTCTACACTACTCTCCGAGGACAGTTAAGTGCAGCAAAGTCGCTTATAGTTTAGC